TCACTAAGCTCTACAACTTTTAATTAATTCATCTAGATTATTAACTTAATAAAAAAAATATTTATTATTAAAATAATAATTTTGTTTCAAATTCAAATATAGCAATTAATAATATCTAAAGCTTTGAACTTATATTAGTTTCTGATTTCTAGTTACTACTATATTCTTTTTACTTTTCTTTATTTAATAGAAATACCAATATTCAATACCATATTTCTTTATTAATTTTTAGTTGAAGCCTTACAGGGTTTACAATGATTTTTAAGTAAATAGAAGCAAGAATTGTACTATAATAAAAGTTTAAAGATTAATCAATAAACAATTGCTCTAGTAGATAATAATAGAACACAAATTGAAGCTCTAATTGATGATTTTCTTCAAGAGATGTTAACTAATCTGGCTGCATATGAATCACTATTTAACAACTTTGTTATTAAAGAAGTCTGGAATATAATAAATCCAGAGCTAGAGTGATAGTAGAACAATCTTTAGAGCTAGAATGTAATAAAAATAAAATAGAAGAAGTAAATCTACCTATTAACAAGGCTATAACTTTACCTATAGAAGATAATTTAGCATTGGCTAAAATTAAAAGAGATTTGAGTGTTAACCCATATAAGGGAACATTCATCTCACTATTTAGAGCTGATGAAGATAATATTCAAGTTTTTAAAGATGTTGTTAAGAGAATTGACAAGCTTGGCAACAAAAAAAAGAATAGGATCCCTCGTTTAGAAGCTATATATTATCTAAGAAAATTACTAGATAGAAACAAACAAAATTTCTAAATGCTAGAGGAATTCAATTTAATACTTAAAAAAAAATTTGGACAAATCAAAGTCTTAAGAATAAAACCCAAGCCAATTAAGTTTATAGTCTATATCAAAAACACGGTTTGAAAAACTTATATAATTTAGTAGATACTTATACTACTAATATAGAAAGATTATCACCTGACCAATTTGCAGAGTTAATACAATAATTTTATTAAAAAATAAAGAAAGACTACAAAAATTACTGCTACTCTAAAATGAAACATAAACTCCCTTCACCTTCTTCTTTCTTCTTCTTGGTCTCTATTTTTCTTCTCTCTTCTTCTTTCTTCTTCTTCTGTCTTTCTTTTTCTTCTAGCACTTCCTTCTCCTTCATCTTCTCTTCTTCTTCTTTCTTGTTCTACTATTGCATTATATTACAACTTGCATAAGACAATATCACTATTTTCGAACCACATATGATATCTATTGTGCTCTTCAACCAAATGCTTGTATTTTTGATCCTAGAAAAAAATATATTGAAGGGACTCAACAGCTATAAGCTGCATTTTATCAATAACAGAACACAAATTAGTAACTTGGTGTTGTAACCAATGTTCACAGAAGCTATATAAATATTATTATTAGTATAGTTTTTTTTTTGCTTTCTTTTTTTTATACACTTACGAAGATTTTTTATTACTATTATTATTACTATTATTATTATTATTACTATTATTATTATTATTATCATTACTAGTATTATTATCATTATTATTATTATTACAATCATGGCAATAAAACCTGCATTTTAAATGATCTCGATGATAATTGTGTTTAGTCATAATTATAACAAGAAGAAAATTTACGGGTGAAAGCAAAAATATATGCAGTATGACATACAGCCTATCTTTTAATTTAAAAATTATCAAACACATGGCCAAATCAAACAGTTTTATTAAACCAAATAGATAAAAATTAAGGTTCAAAAGAAGTGCAAAAAAAATAATTTTTATGCATAATCCTATCCTGTAATCTAGTGGTTAGAGCGAATAGCTTTCACAAGTTATGAGTTTGACTCTACCAGTAGTATGTCATACCCAGTGCACTGTGATGACATTACTAGACTATAGTAGTAAACATTTATATTTTATATTTTACATTTTATATTTTATATTTATATTTTATATTTTATATATTATTTCATTATTTATTATTATTAAATATTCATTTATTATTTCTTATTTGTAAATTATTTACTAACTTCTTAAATTTTACGGAGTAAAATTTTTGAAGAAAGGAATAGTATTATATTAGCATATTTTTATTAGATTAGTTATACAAATTACTATTTATAGTCTAGTATAGATTATACAGTTCAAATCTATACTATTAGTTTTCTTAGTAAATTTTTTACTATTTTGAATTTAGATACATATTTACTATCCCTTAAACTGTAGACAATTCCAGGCAAATTTGCCTGGAAAATTGCTATAAATTTGTTTATAATTTACTTTTTTTAAAATTTAAAATATTT